CCGCACAAACGATCTCGAATTTGTGGTCTGAGTTCACTGAGATAAATAATGATATCTTCAAACACTTGGAAATTGTAAGGAAAGGTGATAATGTATATGACGTGTTAGTGAATTACCATAGCAGTCTAATAACCCCACATTACTGCAAAATGCGCCGAGTGCACTTGTTAGCGTTTGTACATCACCTTCTCCCAAGATTCTGATAGGCTTTCATATTCAAACAAAGTAAAAAAATGGCTTCCACCGTACATCAGGCCAATCCGGTTTCCTAGTGACAATTCTAGACCACTTCGACTACGAAAACTGCCGCCCGGTAAGCCTCGGATTTTTAGGAACTTACCTAATAAGTATCTATTCGCTATATTCCGTAGTTATAAAAGAAACTCGAAGAAAATGATTATACATAATATTAAAAAGCATCAGGTACGGAGTATACTATCGTGCGACAGTAGTCAATTAAATCTAAATAAACTAGACCCTAGTAAGGTAATAATTACCGCTGTTAGAGATTCTCATGTGTTGTGTTTGTTTAAACAAAAACAATATATCGCAACTTTACCTAGTTACTATAAACATCAAAAACATTAAGGTGGAAGGGTCCAAGTTCTCGGTTTCGTACATGTCATTATTTTAATAAACTTTAATCTCAGATAAGATGCACTTTACCACACAATCCAGTCATGTTATTTGATAATCGCCGTAGAAGCTTTCTGTGATGCTACATGTAGTAGCAATAGGATGTGGTAACAACATCGTGTAGCAGTGTTAATAGCAACACCCCCTTTTCGTAGCACGAGGCACGAGGCACGAGTCATTGCCTGTCGAAATGACGCTAGGATCGACAATTCGCATTCACCCTAGTCTAGTGCGGCAGCCGCCTAGCCACTCAGCTTTTTAGTTTGCCTTTGAATACAGGTAGGCACCTAGTTTATTTCGGTACGTACCCTTCGTGACACCCTTGTAATCCAGGTACCCAGCAAACATCGATCCTTTTCATTTTCCCTGCCATTAGTCTTCTTTGGCAGGCTCAGGTCAAGTCTTGTCCGTTCCTTTGGCGCATACATCATTCCCCTTTCCCGCCCTCACTACCTTCTCCTTCTTTTTCTTTTCTACCACCAAGGTGTTTGGCTTGATTCCGAGTTCGATACACATTCGTGAGACCCCAACTCCGACCAACTACTTCCACTCTTTCCCGTTCGCCTTGGCGTACTTTCATTCCTTAAAATACCACGAGTCTTCTCGCTCTCGTCTTCATCTGGCAACCTGCCAACACGACCTGACAAGTTCACTGTTGTCTCGAACGACTAGTCGACCCAATTCCATTCACTTGAGTCCTTCTTTACTTGGACGCCAGCCGCCCCATCACCGTTGATCGATCCGCTCTCGGAAGCACTCACTAAAAGCTCACGTACTCGTCTAACATAAGAGCCGTCAGTCCAACAGGTTGTGTTCTTGTCTAACCCACCCGATTGATATCAACTGGTCCACCGTCGGTTTGGAAATACCTTCGTGATCTCTTCCAAGTACTATAAATTGCCCGATCTTCACTACCAGCTGGAGCTGAAGCGTACATCCTTCATCCGCATCTACTATATACCCAGCAAATTTTGCAAGGTACGTGATCAAGAAGTTCATTGTCTCTCCCTACATCCCATATTCCCAACATCGAGGATCTCCTAGCTGTCGCAATTGGTTTTCCCTCTGCTGGTCCGTTGAGCTTTGTTCCTTCTTGAAGGCGAACATAGTTCCTCCCCCTTCTCCAATACAAAGCGTACCTTTTGAATAAAGGAAATTCTTCCAAATGAAAGGCGTCTAGGCCATATCTTGGAGAAGATGTCAACAAACAAAACATGAGATCAAAACCATACTTGCGTGGCTTGTTTCGACTACTCGTCGCTTTGAGTCTTTCCCCCTTCTGTTGTATAACATTATATCACTCATTGAAACTACAGTAGATCGAGCCAGCAAACTCTGATCATAACCACACTCATTTTACCTTTCTATTCCTATATACGTATTCTTGACATTGTACAGTACTCACCTCTTACAGTTATTCGTCTTTTACTAGGCTTCACATCGAGCAAAATGAGGTCCTCGATTTTAATCACCGCTGGCGCAGCAACGCTGGCTATGGGCAGCCCTCTCGAGAAGGAGAAGCGAGCGATGAAAACCGAATGGGTCGTAGACTACTTGACAGTTACCGTTACCGGTACTGAGACAGCTAAGCCAACCATCTTCTGGGGCGGCCCGAAGCAACGTCCCGCAGAGACAAACTCTCCCGCCCCCGTTGTAACCGAGACTCCTGAGGCATCAGCCCCTGCCCCTGCCCCGGAGACAACTGCGCCGTCCGTTGTGATTGTTACCGAAACCCAGGCCTATCCTACTTTTGAATCCACCCCAGCACCAGTTGTGCAGGATCCTGCGCCTACACCGTCTCCTGAATCGTCTTCTTCTGAATCGTCTTCTTCTGCATCGTCTTCTTCTGCTCCCCAGGCATCTGCTGAGCCCGCCGCGACCGATTTCGCTGGTGCGGCCGTTCAGCATCACAACTTCCACCGCTCAAACCACTCTTCCCCAGAACTTACGTGGAGCGACAAGCTTGCTGGTTACGCTTACCAGACTTCCCTTTCCTGCAAAATGGTGCACGATATGTATGTTTATCATTAACCTATATCTTTTCGATTACTGACGTCCATCTAGGGACCAGGGTGACAAGGGCTATGGCCAAAACTTGGCCAACTGGGCACAGAGCGTGGATGCTTACAAGCTAGGTGATACCGGCGCTGTCAAGATGGCTGTCAGCGACATGTGGTACAATGGAGAGTTCAACAACTTCCTTCCCGCGTATTACGGCGAGGATTCCCCTGACATGACCTTCTTCGAGAGCTGGGGTCACATGTCCCAGCTTGTCTGGAAAGAATCGACTGAGGTTGGCTGCTCTTCTCACTACTGCGAGAAGGGAACCATGTACGATGACTTCGATGCCTGGTTCACCGTGTGCAACTACAGCCCTCCTGGTATGGACCTCCCTGATTCTCGAGTTATGACTTTATGCTAATATATGACATAGGTAACGTTGGTGGTGCTTACGGCAGCAACATCCTTAAGCCTCTCGGCAAGGCTACTGTGACTGCGTAAGCTGATTCCAAGTTAGCATTGCGCTTTAGGCAGTATTTCACTGGCAAAGGCAATACATATGCCACACAACTCCCTTCGATTCTTCAGTGTATAATTCAATACACAGTTTTTACAAAACCAGCACTCGCGTATGATTGTTGACGACATGGAAAACCGGCGTGAATGGGGCACCAGGGAAAGGATGGTCCTGGATTTTTTAGCATTTCTTCGATTCGTTGTTGGGCCTTGAGCCATTACACTTTTATCTCTTTTTTGGTCAGACTTGTCATTTCTCTAGAATATGACCTTGCATTGCCCTTGTGGAGTTGATGGCTTGCCCCCACAATGCATTCAATTAAGTCTGAACTATTTAACAACAAACTCGTCTTCACTTCTTGTACCTGTCACTTTTCTTATATCACATTTCACTTTTTGCATTAAGTCAAGAGGGTAAAGCTCAAAACCGAGTGCATTACCTAGGTTCTTAAGGTCGGGAACAGTTACTTACAGACTCGCATGTTGCAGTCGGACCGATCCGGTTGTGGAATAAATCCAGACCGTGTCTTCGCTGTATGTATGTAGAACTCATTCAATGCTAACGATGACTGATGAACTACCTACAACGTTCTCATTCGATATTGGTGACATGATAGCTAATTCTATGTGAACGTTTATCAATCAACATTATGCTATCTATTTAATTTCTCAAGATTGGCCAAGAAGTATACAGTTTAACGTAGGTTGGACGCTTATCCCAGCTGGAAATTATCAGAAATGGCTAGTATATATTTCATATTACTGCTGCCTTCAAAAAGAACTTGGGGAATTTAGACTTGGAGAGTAGAAGGTCATTGCCAAGTTCGTGTCACAATTTATAGGCTGGTAAATAAATGCCTACACATGCAACGTTATACCGCAAAACGATCTACCGTGTATCTACTATCCTAGTATAAGCTCACGTAACCCTAGTTCCATGATCATATATCCCGGGGGCTGGCAATACGGGTTATGCCCTGGCACATTTATTGGCGGTCCTATACGAGCGAAGTTGTGTTAAGCTTCTTCTGCCTTGCCTTCGTATTTCGTTGCCAAGCGCTTAATAGCCGATTGAAAAGGCGAGGTTAGCTCAGATGTCCGAAATGCGTAGTATATAGCACAGTAGCGGTGGAATGGACTATGTAGATTGGAATGTGCAGGTATGGTTTGTGCGATTTGGGCTGGTTGTCTTGACGTTGCAGAGATGGCCTTACGATTACTGCTCTTGACATTGTGTTCGGTGCCCGGTGGCTATGAGACGAGAGAGTCACAAATTCGATAAGTTCTTTATGCTTGAGAACCGTCCACGACCATAGGGATACGGGATCCGATAGAATCATTTGACAAGAGATGCGAGACCCCTATGACCTAATTTCGAGGATCCTTCGTATCAGTGGTATACACAAGAATTTATCGGTTGCTAGAGGTTATCACTATAAACACGCTCGTTGCATACATGGTTAAAACATGTTGACTATGGCATTTCATTGAACTCGAGCATGATCCGAAACTTCTTCCAAGCCGTCATTGCACGAAGGGCATAATCAGTTGGTACGTTCGGCCCCTTCTCGCTAGCCGGGACGGATGATTCCATCGAAATATAACCTTTATACCTCGAGCCAAGAACGATGTATTTTGCTAAGTCCTCCATCGAATAACTACCGCCTAAGGGATTCTCGAACAGGAAACCCTTGCCGTGTCGTGACCAGCTCATGTAGGGAGTTTCATGAGGATTGTACCTTTGGGATATAGATAGTCAGCAATGTATTTTATGAAAGATAGCAGTGAAGAGGCTTAGAATATGATCCTGGTGGTAATACTCCTTGATTCGGCTGGGGCGCCTTAATTTAGCGATGTAGGTTAAGAAAGAAGTGCGAGAAACACGCCGGTAGCACATACCAAGGATGATCCACGCTTATCGAATTGATGAAGGGAACGGCACTGGAAACTTGGAGATGGAATATCCTGCTTGGCGGCACTACTTCCATCATACGAACGAGACTATTCGTGCGCCTAATGCTCTCTTCCGATCCCTTGTAAGACAAGGCTGACGTATCATCACCCAAACCACCAGCTATATGGAAGGTACTCAGACAGAGACCGAAGTTGGGGCTGTTGATCAACTTCACAACTTCCCATGCTTTCCACCATTTGTTGATAATGGTGCTGTAGCACGTAAAAGAGTACGCAATGTTGATACCTAGATCCAATCCCCATTGAGAAATCAGTTTGAGGTCTTCGAGGATAAATCCTTCAGACAGCTCGTTTTGTGGGAGATGATTAGCTGTGACTATAATCGTATTGGTGCCAAGCTTCGTCGCAATCAAGAACTGGGTTTTGAGTATATTTCTCATGGCATCGTGCCGCGCTCGATCCCGTAATCCTTCGTAGCGTTGAAATGGCCCAAAGGCTACGATATTGAGGCCGAGGCGTTGGCATAGGTCCGCGATGCGCTCTGCTGCAGCGAATAAATCCTTTTCGGAGGGGTAATCAACCTATGAAACCGTCTTTGCTTCTACTATCACCTCATCGAAGGATATTTCGACCCCCATGAAATTGTTTACGGCAGCCTTTTCGAGTTTTTCTCTTATGCTATAAATAGTGGGATCTCCGAGAGAGGTAGATACAATTGCCGGGGAGAGATGCCCTGCTGGAGAGGGACTCATTGCTGCAAATACGCCAGCGGGTTAACTGTTAGGAGATACCTAATGGGAAGAGCTATGAATTTTACCTATAGCTGCTTTTATCAGGGAGTTCTCCTGGGATAGATTTATGATACTGGAAATCTAAGAAGTATCGTCACTCGAAATATGTCTTGGCTGACGAAAGTGAAAACTTACGCGTCTATCCTGCCATAATGAACCTCCACCTTCTATCATTGTCAGAGACATGGACGAGGAAAGAATAATGTGTGCTTTACCATTCACAGGGTACGTAAGGTTAGTTTAAATATGTATGTAGGTCTTCTTGAAACCCTAATCTAGGATACCTGGATAGTCGAGAACTTAGAAAGGGGCTTGGTCTCCCCTGAGCCTAAGTCGATATTTCCCTAGAAACGACTTTTTGGTATCCTGGTAAGTTGGTTAGGTACTCATTGACGAAACCCTGGGTGCCTACTGTACCTATACTCAGATACTGTATAGAAACAAGGTTCTTTGTGATCTGATTCGTGCAAGAGTTGATTCGATGTTATTACCTAACAAAGTATGCTCGTACATTGTGCCTTTAAATATAAGTATACTAAAGCATAACGAATCAACTATGGATTTGATCAACCTTTTTGATTAACCTATTTGTCCATCCTCTTTCAGAAATGCTCATCTTTCATCCTACACACAGTCGCGCCAATGCTAATGCTAATGCCGAAGACGAGACATTCTCGGCCAAAGCTTATCGCATATGGAACCAGATCCATAAAGTTTTTGTAGTGTGGTTCCTATGTGAGAAGGTTATTTACTTTTCCGACCCCCTTTTGGAATTATTAGATTGGCTGTTCCTCGTAATTCTATTTACAATCAAAATACCCGGTCTACTTATCAATTACCTCCCAGTACCCTTCTTTGATCCAGCTATCCACATGTCAACAACTATAATGTTGGGCTTCTCTGCTATTATATTAATCTTATCGACCCCATATCGGGCCCTTCGCGCACGCACAGACGCCCTGTGGTGTTTGAAAGTAGTTTTATTTATGTATTACTTCCTTCGAGGTCGTCGTAGGATAGCACTGCGCCGCTTGGCAAGACTGAGAAGATGGCGCCGTATATCTATCTACCTCCTTTGGTCCTGCCGGTTCGTTTTTTCGGCTTGTATCTCCATGCTCAGTTGGGTGGTTATTGGCTTGCGTTTGGACTATTTCACAAAGTGGTGCTTATTCGCTTTCTTTGTTTTAGACGCCTATTCTTTAAATATTCGAATAGCAATTAGTAGTGACCTATCGTTAGCGGGTGTAAGAGCTAGTTAGAGATGAGCGCCCCAGCACTTCTTACACCGCAACAGAGTCACTAATATAGTATTAACACCTCTTAAAATATATTACGTATGCCTTAAGTTTACAAAAGATTATTATATCGAATTTTTTTTCTATAAAAACTTATCCAGATTAAGAAATGAAAATTGCTTATTTAAGATTTAAGAATTACCGGAATAAAAAAAATTTTAATTAATTTAATAAATGTTAATTAAATATATTTTAAAAAAAATGGGATTTTAATCGATTTTTAAGCAAATAATAAGCCATAACTACCGCCACAACTACGGCCACAGCCACGGCCACAGCCACAATTACAAAGATTTTAAATATAAAAGTTTTAAATATAACTTATGCGGTTAAAAACTGTTTATAAAACATTAAATTAATAAAATGTTTCGGTAAAATTAAAATGTAAAAACCAACCCGCTTACGTAACAGATAAAAATACAGCGTAAAATATTATATTTTTATTTACAAAATAATATATTAAAAAAAAATAAAATAAAATACAAAATTAAAAAATCAAATTATAAATTTAACAATTAATAATATATGGTATAATATATGGTTATATAATTATATAACTATATAATTAATTATATAACTATTAATAATATAATAATTATAAATTTAAAACTATTATACAATTTAATAAAATTACTTTTTATAAAATAAAAAATAACTTTTTAAAATTATATAATAACTTAAATTTATAATTAATTAAATTAAACAACTTTTTTATATAAATATATATAAAATTTATTAAAATATATTAAAATATTACGTTTTTTAATTAATTAAAAATATATTTAATTAATTTATTTTTTATATTATATAATATAATTTTTTTAATAATAATTTAAATATTAATAAAAATATTATTTATTAATTTTTTAAATTAATAATAATTTTTAATTAAATATAACAAATAATAAAAATAAATATTATTTATTATTTTTAAAAACTATTTATTTTTATAAAAAAATTAATATTAACGTTAATATTAACCAATTTAAAATTATTTTATTTTAATTTTATTATAATATTATTTATATTTTTTATTAATTTTTAAATAAATTTAAAAAATTTAATTTTATTAATTTTAATATTTTTTATAATTATTTTAACAATTTTTAATTTTTTTTCCATATTTTTTAATTTTTTATTTATTTTTTTTAAATATTTTTTAATATTAAATTTACCATTTTTATTATATTTTTATTTATTTAATAAATTAAAAAATATATTATTATTATTATTTTTTTTTTATTAATAGTTTTATTTTATTATATTTTAAAATTCGGGAATTATTATTTTTATAACATATTAAATATAAAAATATTTTTTAAAATATATAAAATTAATTTTTTATTTTAATTAATTTAAATAAAATATATTTTTAAATTTATAAATAATATCGATATATAAACTTTTAAAAATTAAATTATATAAAATTTTTTTTTTATAAAAATTAAATTTATTTATTAAAAATAAAATTTAATTTTTTTTAATAAATTTTTTTTATAAATTTTAACAAATAAATAAAAATAATTTTATATAATTATAATTAATTTTATTTAATAAATAATTTCAATAATTTTAATAATATTAATTAAATATATATATATATTTAACCTTTTTTTAAAATACTTTTAAATTTTTTAAATATTAAAAAATTTATAATTAAAAATATTATTTATATTTTTATATAAATATTTTAAATTAAAATATTTATAATATTAAAAAATTATTTTATAATTTAATTTAATAAATTTTTACGTTATTAAAAAAATATATTATATATAAAATATATAATAAATATAAATTTTAATATTTTAATTTAAATAAAATATATATATTTTTTTAAAACTATTTAATAATTTTTTATTAAAATTATTAAAAATAAAAAAAGTAAAAATTATTAAATAAAATATATTATAGTAAAAAATAAAAATTATATTAAATAATTTTAAATATAATTTATTAATAATATAATTTAAACCGGTTAAACGAAAAAATAAAAATAAATTTATATTATAACATTTTAAATTAATAATATATTTTAAAATAATATATATTAATTTTTATAAATTTTTAATTTTAACTTTTATTTTAATAATATTTTTACTTTTTATTTTAATAATATTGCTATTTTTTACCTTAATAACATTTTTACTTTTTACGTTAATAATATTTTTAACCTTTTTAATATTAATATTATTAAAACTTTTATAAAAAATAATTTATTTATAATTATAATATATAAATAATATTATTTAATATTAAATAAATTAAATTATAAACGTTTAAATTTAAATATTAATTATATAAGTTATAAATTAAATATAAATTATATAAATTATAAATAAATAATAAAATAAAAAATATAAATAAATAAATATTATTAATTTATATTTATTATAA